GTACCGGCGATCGAGGAGGCGGGGCCCAGTGACAGAGGAGTCGATCGTGGAGGAGAAGGAGGCGGACAGGGGATCGGCCAGACAGGTAAGAGGGCTTAACCGCCCGCCTGAGACCCTGCAGAGCTCACCATATATAGTCTATGGTGGGCTCTGCAGGGTCACCCTTAGGTGGGCTGTTTGGGTTATCAGGTGGGCGTAACTAGAAATCACAGGGCCCCATACAAAATTTTGCTATGGGGCCCTGTGATTTCTAGTTACGCCCCTGTGGTGACCGCATACATTTATAACCAGGATGCAGATGGGAAGGCTGACAACAATACAATACAAAAGCCTCCCCATGTGCATCCTGGTTATACATTTATGCGGTCACCATCTTTTTCTATGTTCTACAATGTGACATCTGGAACGAGATTGGTTGCCGTTCAAAAACCGAATCCTTTCACCGTTTTCCAGATAAGCTCCAACATGCCACTACGGGGCACAGAGGAGAGTCTACCTTCCAGTGAGAGGACCTCTGGGTTCCTTTTTTATTATTTACACAGCAGTATACAGAGCACTTAACTGGTTAAGAAAAGAGCCCCTGTCCCCCTCCTCCTCGGCTGGGCCGGCCTTGCATTATAGCGGAGGTGAGAAGATTGGATGTTTTCCCAGATCTGCGCATATTGATGGGAGCCATGCTCTGTTGCTGCATAGGAAATCTATGGGAGGCTTCTCTACACTTGCTGATTCTTCCATTAAACGTCTGGAAGTTGTGCTGAAGCCGCAGATATCTCTGACATCCTCCCGCTTCAGTATCTTATCCGCTCCGTTCCAGACAACGACGCACACTACAAGCAGAATGGGAGAAACGTGTCACGCTGGACATGGATAGGCCAGAACGATGGACTGATAAGAGTGTCATCATTGTCCTCTGTCCACCCGCTATATGTCTGCAGCACCCCTAAGGCCTGTCAGCGTGGTGCACTGGCACTTTAGTATTATTTATGCACTTAATGCATGATTGGCTTTTTTTTCAAAAGCTTTTTGACCCACAGATGCGGAAGGTGCAGGTTCCTTCGGGGCCTATTCCTGACGCTGGGAGGAGATTCTGTGCCTCCTACGGGGTTCTCTGTCTCCTCCCACCCAGGAGGGGGGGGGTTTCTCTTCGGGAGAGCCCCCTGCCTAGTACTGTGAGGGACCCGCTCCGGCAGGTCCCCGAAGGAAATGGGTCCACCGGCCTTCGGGTTGGTGGGCCAACAGTCTCAACCCCTGTCAGGAGCCTTGCGCCCCGGGGGGTCGGGAAAGTAGGTCCCTTCTTTTGAAGGACCTTGCACCCTCGTGCACGTTTTTGTGTGCTTTGTTCACAGGGGGAAGTTTGTTTTGATGCGCGTCCACGGGCTTCGAAAAAACATTAAAATATGTCTGCAGCACTCCAGTCCTGGGTTCACTTTTCCGTACAGCCTCTAGTATGTGTTGTGAGAATTGGCTCCAAACTGTAGCGCATCGAGGACGCATCCGCTCGCTGAAATCTTCATTTTAAGGGCTTCCTTGCCCGCTTTTATTAAAGGAGAACTAAGATTGGCAGCACCCGCCCATCCAGCCTCCTGGCTTTGCATTTGCAGCACCGCTGCTCTGGCCTCAGCCCTCTGTCTGTTCCTCCAGACAGCCACAGTCGTGTGCTAACCGGCACACTGGGGGGTTTTCCAATCTGCAGCACCCTGCTGCGCTGGCCTCCACTCCCCCCGGGTGACCCCCCGGGTGGAGCTTTCCTGTCTCCTAGGTGGAGCCCTGAACCCTTCAAGGCTGTGCACACCTGTGCCATCAGCATGCGCCGACCACTCAGATTCTGGACACAGGAGTGGAGATAACGCACTGCCACAGTGTATAATAGGTGCAGAGATTAGATTGGGTCTCGTGTCCTTTGCAGGGTGCCATGTGACCCGTCCGAGCCGAAGGAACCATGAAGCAATGTCTGATTACTGTAACTTGTCTTGGCAGGGCCGCAGCTGGATCGTTAAAAGGAGTTATGAAGATTTTAGGGTGCTGGACAAACATCTCCATCTATGTATATATGACCGGCGCTTCTCTCAGCTCTCAGAGCTGCCCCGTTCCGACGCCGTGAAGGACAGTCCAGAGGTGAGATATCTGCATGGAGGATGTGTGGTCAGGTGATGTCTGTGGAGGAGCCGTGGAGCCCC